GCCTTGGATTTGGAGTCATAAGACCTAGTTAAAATCCTGAGTGTGCTGCTTCTTTATGACTAGGCAAGTGACCCAACCTCTCTGAGCCTCAGTTTCTTTATCTGTAAAACAAGGGGGCAGAAGTCGATGATCTCTGAGGTCCCTTTCAGCTCTAAATCTAGTTAATGTGAGATTATGAGCTAGTTTGTTGTAGAAGGGAATGTCATTGAGGGGTGTGATGATGCAAACAGTGAGAGGCAGCCAGATGGCATGGTGGGTAGTGTGCTGGATTCAGAATGGGGAAGAACTGAGTTCTAATCCTACTTCAGGCACTTACTAGCTGATTGACCCTGAACAACATCGCTTAACCACTCTCTGTCTCAGTTCCCCCACTTGTAAAATGGAAACAATAGTAGCATCTACCTCCCAGCATTCCTGTTAGGTTGGAATGAGATAACATATATCAAGTGCTTTGCACACCTGAAAGTGCTATATGACTGTCAGTGATTATTATTAGTTACAATTATATAAAGAAAGATAATGATGGGGTGCTCAGAAGCACTGGTGAAAGCCCGAGAGAAATCAGGAAAGGGTAAGGCTGAAAATTGTGTCTTTAATGACCCTTGAGGAAGAATGAAAGAGAGGGTCAGAGAAGAGACAGAAGAGGCTTTGAGTGAAAGAAATCTGAATGGGGTGGGGAGAAAGGTTAACAGAGGAGAGAAAGAGAGAGAGTGCCCTAGTCTGCAAGGAAGTAAGCTAAGGAATTCATTTTCTTGGAAGAACCAGCTGTTCTGAAGTGTGCATTGAATGAATGAAACGCCATTGTGACCTGAGGGGGAAAATGAAGACTGAAATCCTGAGCATAGAGGGTAGGCAAAACTAGATAGAGGTGAGGCAGTGGTTGGTAAGGATGCCCATGAAAAGAGGGAAAGGAAAGAGGGCATTCAAGTTAATGAAGGGTGTAAGATCGAGGGAGATGACAGAGCTAGAAGGGGACCTTAGGAGTCATCTCATCCCATCCCGCCGGTGTTCCATTGAGGAAACTGAAGCCCAGGGTCATTCTCTCCTCTGAAAGCTAGCTAAACGACAGAGCTAGGTCTAGGAAACCAGGTCCCTCGATGCCTTGGTCAGTATCTCTTCCAAGTCAGCATCTTTGCCATTGCCTAGCTCTGCAGCCTTCTCCCACTCCTCATCCAATACACCTGCCCCCCCTCCCCTGGCTGCACACGTATATCCTCAGTCCTAGACTCACATGCCTTCTTGTCTCATTAGTAACTCTCTTCTGTTTCTTCCTTCTGGTGCTGTAGCTTTACTGTTCATTTAGAAAAAAAAATGTCTGAGTGTTCCAGTCAAAACAATGATGTTTATTTACGTTTGAGACACATTATCCATTTTTCTCCAAACATGTCATAATAATAACAATGATGACAATAATGATAATAATACTGTAGATTTAAAGGCAGGCTGGTGTGGCAGATGGAGCCCAGCCTTGGAGTCCTGAAGACCTGGGTTCAAGTTCAATCTCTAACTTAGGTTGGCTGTATAACCGTGGCCAAGTCACTTCCTCTCTTAATGTCCCAGACAACTCTCTTAAGGCTATCCCTTGTAGAACAGATGCCAATATACATTGGCAGACAGAGTTTCCTCCTGGGAAGTTCTTTAACCCAATGAAATCGCAGGCTTGGTCCACAAACAAAACAAAACAAAACAAAACCCTTTATATTCCTATTATACTCTACCAGATAAATTTCATTTACGTTATTTCATTTCATCCTCAAAACTCCCAAGTGAGGGGGTAATAATAACATGATAACATAGCACTTGAGAGTTTACAATGTATTCTCCTCACAACAACCCTGTGAAGTAAGGTAGGTAGTACTAGCATTCTTATTTAAGTTTTACAGATGGGGAAACTGAGGCTTGGAGTTGCCCAGAGTCCCATAGCTAATGAATGGCAGAGCTGGGCCTTGACCTCAGGAGCTTCTGGCTCCAAGTTTAGCTCTTTTCACTGCCCTGACCTAAACTCGGTTTCTTGGCAGAGTTTCCAGTTCTGATGTCTTTCCATCAGTACCATTGTGTGCTGTGAATAGGAGCCTACCTAAAGAACCCTGATTGGGTCCAGTTTTGACGATAGATTGTTTGTGTTGCAAGTGAACCTGGCATCCAGAGATCTAAACTTGCAGGCCAAATAACGCATTTATAATCAGATTTGCATTACAAGAACTCAATTTCCAGGCAGCCCTTTCAGGAAAATGGCTTCACTGTTCCAAGCAAGGTCTGGCTTACAATACCATTCCCTGAATTTCCCTGAATTTGAACTTGGCTGAGCTGGAGATGGGGGACAATCTACAACAAATAAGTAATAGCAACAGTCTATTTAATGCTGTCTCTCTTATGAAGAGCACATGAGGTCAGTGGTGAGGCAGGGTAGGAATTAGTGTCACATTTTTATGGGGGAGGAGACTGAGCCTTGGAGGCATTATAGGACTTCATGAGTCCATGCCAGAGCCACGGGCTTCAGGGGGTCAGGAGAGTATGCAGGTGACCCAAGGATGGTGCCCTGACTCCAAAGAATCTGTTCCCCTCTATCCCTCACCAGCATGGTGGGATCGAAAGAGCTCTGGGCTTGGAATCAGAACACTTGGGTTGAAGTCCCAACTGGGACACCTTCTATCTAGGTGATTATAAAAAAATTGCAACCTTCCTGAGCCTCAGTGTCCTTTGCTGTAAAATGGGGGTTATACTACTCAGGGGCAGCCTGATAGGGTGTATAGGTTGAATGCTTGAGGTTAGAAAGACCTAGGTTCAAATCCTACCTCTTGACATTTACTAGCTTTGAGCCCTTGGGCCAGTCATGGAAACTTATTCAGCCTCAGATCACTTCCTAGGTTGTATCTGCCAAGTCATAGATGGAGCCAAGTTTGCTTTGGAAGAGAGATCATGAGATCATAGACTTAGAGATGGAATTGATCTAGAGGTCATTGGATCTAACCTCTTCATTTTACACTTGAGAAACCTGAGGCCCAGAGAAGTGACTTGTCCAGGACCACACAGCTAGCAAGTGGAATTTGAAGACAGGTCTTCTTGACTCTAAATCCAGTGCTCTATCTAATACACTATGTTGGCTCACGTAGTCAAACACTCTCATTTTACATCTGAGGAAACTGAGCTCAGAGAGGTCCCCTGCTCACATTTGTGCTTCCTATCTTGAGGGAAAGCGGGGAAGACTCTTGGGGAAACTTCAATGCTGCCTTATTTTCTTCCCATCATACACTAGTACAATATAGTATCTAGCTCCCAACAGGCTTTAGGGCAGGAGAATGGTCTATATGGAGACTTCAGATTAAGGAAAGGGAGGAGCCACAGCTTATCTGCTTTCATAGGGAGTATCGGTTGAGTGGGTAGTACCTTGTGTGATCAGCCACCCATGGAGGGAATGTTTTCCCAACTGTGGGAGGAGAGTTAAGGGCCAGCTTTGCTACTGAGGCAGCCACTGCCCAGGGGATGGTCACGTTAGAGTGCTGGAGGCCACTCAGGGCCCCGGTAAAACTTAGAGGAGAAACAAGAGGGAGGAGATGGAGGGCACTTGGGTGGCACCACTGGACTCATATTGGTGCCAGGAAGCTAAAGGTGGTGGAGGAAGACCTGGGGGGTGGGGAGTGAGGAGGCAAGTGGGAGGGATCGTCAGGGGACTGGGAAAGGAGGAAAACCTGGAAATTGCTATGGATTGTGGGCAATACATACATGGTAGAGATTTCTTTACTGTGTGTGTTTTTTTTAAAACAAGTTCTATGATACAAGCGACCCAGGGACACTGGCCTATGCTGTATCTTTTTGTGAAGGCCTACGGTCACAGAATCCAGGGATACCTCTGTAATTAAAATAATAATGATAATAATAAAATTACAACTCTCACCTTTCTGTTGTTTACACAATTTAGAAAGCATTTGCTACCGTTTCCCAGTCAGGCAGAAACAGATGCATGTTTCCTGGGCCTGAAACAGTTCCACTGGGGCACAGCACTGACTGTAAATTCCAAACACCCCATGATGGAGGGTGGCAGAAGACCAGCAGACCAGTGGTACCACCCAGAAGTGAGGTCCAGTTTTACCTCACCAAGCCACTGTCTGCTTCTGCCCACACCAAGGGGTCCACAAGTCAGTGTAGAGACTGGTGTGTCTTTGAGCTTAGCATTATTAAAGTAGCTTGGGCCTGGAATTTGCTCCCCCTTCACCTCTGCTTCTCAGAATTCCTTGTTTCCTTCAAAACTCATCTTAAACATCAGTCTCTACATAAAGCCCTTCCTGTCACCCCCTTTCCCTAGCTGCTAGTGCCCCCCCACTCCTAATCACTTTGTTTTTACTTTTGTGTGTACTTGAATCAATCAATAATCAACAACATTTATTAAGCACCTACTACGTGCCAGGTACTGTGATAGGTAGGCGTGGGCAAACAAAACAAGTGAAGCTATCTAAATAGCCTTATCACTTCCCTCAACAGGATGTGAACTCCCAGAGTGCAATGACTCTTTATTTTTGTCTTTGTATTCCTATAAGCTAGTACAGTGCCTGGCCCATAGCAGGGGCTCCATAAATGTTTGATGATTGATTAATTGAGGATCAACTGTGTGCACGGCACCATGCTAGGCACTGTGCGGGATAGAGAGGGAAGCTTCTGCCCTCCGGGAGTTTCTGATTTCATTGGTGAAATGACACCAGTGCTCATGGTGCTGTTAAAGAACAATATAAAAGCAGTTTCTAAGTGCTGATTGCAGACTTCCTGAGCTGGACCAGTTCAGAGAGGAGAGACATCAGTGGGGGGTGGAGCAGTCAGGGTAGGCTTCATGGAGACGAAGCTTGAATAGGATTTGGAGAGGAGCATAGTGGGGACGGGGGAGGAGGGGACGGGACATTTGAGGCAGGAACAACCCATAGGAGAAAAGACTGTGGACTCCTTCAGAGAAGCAGGTGGCAAAGGTTGAATCCTGGCTGATGGTGGCTTCTTTTTCCATTTTTTTCCAGGGCGGGAGATGGTGGGACCCACGCTGCCTGGATACCCACCCCACATCCCCACCAGTGGTCAGGGCAGTTATGCCTCTTCTGCCATTGCCGGCATGGTTGCAGGTAGGGAGAGTGCCTGGGGACCAGGGTTCTACGGTTATGAGGGAGGGGACCTTAACACGAGTAGGTGAAGGTTGGGAGTGGAGAGATGGCCCTCTGGCTCAGAGTTACCAGCAGGCACTGAAGGGCAGTCCCAGAATTTGTCTCCTTTGGAAGGCAAGCTGCTTTTTCTCTTTGGGCAATTTTAGTTCCCTGACTGTCCTCAGTTTTGCCCTTTCCTTTCCAAGTTTATGCCAAATTCCAAACTGGGATCAGGCATCATGAAAGGAACTGGGACATCCTATCTCTAGCTGTCAGCCCTGTAGCATTTCACAACGGCTAACTTACACTTGTTGACAGTGGACATATGGCTTTCCTAGAGCATCAGGGGATCTGTGGAAGCTAGGCCAACCTTGGTGCAGGGAAAGAATGCTGGGCTAAGAGTTGGGGGGTGCATGGGGAGATTCAGATCAGCATGGCATGGGGGGAAGGAAGATGGATTTAGAGGACATTAGTTTGACTACCAGTTCTGCCATTTATGATCTGTATGAATTTGGGGCTCAGTTTCTCTGGGACTCAGTTTCCATATCTGTAAAATATAAAATCTGACTTCTCAGGTCCCTTGCAGCTGTAAATCTATGATCAAATGAACAAATGACCTGTAAGGCCCCTCTTATCTTAAAATCTGTGACCCTATGATGATCCTAGGGTCTTTAAGGTCCATTCTAGCTCTGAATCTATGGTTACATGGATCTCATCTCTCCTTTGTGCTACTCCTGTGACTCACCAAACCGTTCTGGACCTCAGTTTACTTATCTGTAGAATTAGGGTGTTGGATTGAGTGCCCTCTATGTTACCTTCTGGCTCAAGATCTATGTTCCTATGACTAGATGACCTCCAAGGTCCCTTATAGATATTACTATATGACCTTTAAAAAGTCCCTTTATCCTGTTTTCTGGCCTACTGTGTGTCCCTCAAAGCCAGGGTGATCACTACCTATTTTGGAGTCTGGAAATGTGGCGAGGGGGATGGGAGGTCCTCCCTGTTTGCCTCCTTTTGTCCTGTTCCAGAGTCTGGTCCTCAGACAGGAAGCACACACTGGAAGAGGATGCCTGGCTGGCCCCACTGCCCCCCATCCCCCCACCCCAGGGCTTTCTGTCAGAGAGCAGTGGTGGAGAGAGCTCTCTGGCCTCTACTCCAGACCCCTGTTAGAAATAGATGGGCACCTGCCATGCTGCAAAGTGTTCTCCTGCCTCTAGTCACTGGGGAGGGAAATGGAACTGCTTTCTGTGAAGAAGGAAAGAGAGGAAAGGGGGGAGGAGGGAGGGAGGGAAGGAAGGAGAGAGAGAGAGAGAGAGAGAGAGAGAGAGAGAGAGAGAGAGAGAGAGAGAGAGAGAGAGAGAGAGAGAGAGAGAGAGGCAGTACTCCTGAGGTTGCATCCACTCCCAGCATAGTGTTGACTCCCCTGGCTCCCACCTCCCAAAGCATTGCTCATTAACCTGCTCCTCCCTCCCTCCCTCCTTCCCTCTCCAGACAGGAGTTAATTTTTTGCTGGCTGCCTGCCCCTTGGTGCCCTATGCTGAGGCAGGTGTGCTGAGAGAGAAGAGAGAGAGAGAGAGAGAGAGAGAGAAGAGAGAGAGAGAGAGAGAGAGAGAGAGACAGAGAGAGAGAGATAGAGAGAAGACAGAGAGAGAGAGGGAGAAGAGAGAGAGGAGAGGAGAGGAGAGAGAGGAGAGGAGAGGAGAAGGAGAGGAGAGGAGAGGAGAGGAGAGGAGAGGAGAGGAGAGGAGAGGAGGGGAGAGGAGGGGAGGGGAGAGGAGAGGAGAGGAGAGGAGGGGAGAGGAGGGGGGGAGGAGAGGGGAGAGAGAGGAGAGGAGGGGAGAGGAGGGGAGGGGAGAGGAGAGGAGAGGAGAGGAGGGGAGAGGAGGGAGGGGAGAGGAGAGGAGAGGAGAGGAGAGGAGAGGAGAGGAGAAGAGGGGAGGGGAGGGGAGGGAGGGAGGAGAGGGAGGGAGGAGAGGGGAGGGGAGGGGAGGGAAGGGGAGGGGAGGGAGGGAAGGGAAGGGAAGGGAAGGGAAAGGAAGGGAAGGAAGAGAGAGAGAAAAAAATAAGAGAGAGACAGACACACAGAGATAGACAGAGATGGAGACAGAGAGACAGAGAGAAAGAAACCTAGAAAGGCATAGACAGAATGACAGAGACACTGAAACTCGAGAGAGACAGAGAGAGAAAGACTGGGGAGAGCAGGGAGGGAGGAGGGAGTGGGAGGGAGGGAAGGAGGTTGCACTCTCCCTGGGAACCTGCTGAGCTGGCACTTGTTGCTCCTTGGTTACCGTGGCGATGTGGTTAATGCACCGTTGAAAATACAGAATACTGACTCCTCTCTCCCTCCTGGCCCAGGCCTCCCTCCCTCCCTCCCTTCCTCTCCTGGAGCGTGAAATGAGATTGGTCAAGATAAAAAAGGAAAAGATTCGGTTATTTTTTTTAAGAGTGTGGATAATGGGGCCTCTCAATCACAATCCAGGGCTCCAGTCGTCTCCCTTGCTTCTCACTCCCCCACACCTCTGCAGCTTGCTTGGAGAAGGAGAAGGAGGAGGAGGAGGGAGGAAGGAGGAAGCATAGTGCTTTTCTCTTAATTATGAGTCACTCCTCAGGCCTGGCCAAGGGGAAAGGTGGGGGGCACCTGGGGCTAAGTGGGTGAGTTATCGGCTTGTATACCAGGATGGTAGTCGAGGCTCTGACCTGGAACCTGGTGGGAGAGCCCATAAGGGAAGACCCTTTCCCATACAGTTTACATAACACCTCTAAGTGGCCTTAACTACAGGTGCGGGAGTTAAGGAATGAAAAGAGACGTAACCCATCAACAAGCATTGAGTAAGTGCCTACTGTATGCCAGACACTGTGTTAGGAGTTCCGTTTACAATGACAAAGAAGGAAGCCATCCCTATCGTCAGTGGCTTTAAACTCAAGATGCTGTGTGCTGCATCCAGATTCGAGGTGTGGCCCATCTATGGCTCATCCGGCAGACTGATCTCCAGAATACAAGGGATCCTGACAAGTCCATTGGTGCAAAGCTCTAGAGTAGGAGGGACCTCAGAGACCATCTAGAATGACTCCCTCATGTCCAGATAAGGACACCTGGGCTCAGAGGGCTTAAGTGAATTGTCCAAGGTCACACAGCAGCAAGAGAGAAAAACCAAGACTTGAACTCAGGTCCTCTGACTCAGTTCGGCCCTTTCTCTTGCTTCGCTCACAGTGCACACTGTGGGAAATTAAATCAGACTAGATGTGGGCTGGCTATAACATAATCGGTTCCATCCTTTTTCCAAATAATTCAATTGAGTTCAAAGTTCAGATTTTTCACAAAAAGCCATCCCCCAAGGCAAAGAAAGGGCACGAGCATTTATTAAGCACCTACTATGTGCCAGGCACTGTGCTAAACACTCCTTTGATCATCACAATGACTTTGTGAGGTAGGTGCTATTATTATTGCCATTTTACTGATAAGGAAACTGAGGCAAACAGAGATTAAGTGACTTTCCCAGGGTCACACAGCTAGGAAATGTTTGAGGCCGGATTTGATCTCAGGTCTTCCTGACTGGAGGTCCAAGGTATCCACTATACCACCTCGGTACCTTGAATGCCCATCAGTGTAAAAACCAGGTGCATTTGATTGCTTGAGAGTGAGAGTAGACTTGGTAATAGGCATCTGGCCTTGTCATCAGATCCAGATTAAGCTCCTTCCTCTGACATATATTGATCATGACCTTGTTTAAGTCACTTGGCCTTATAGAATTAGGACTGGAAGGGACTTCAGAGGCCACCTCTTCTGTCCTTCCATCCCATCCTCCAGATGAGTAAACTGAGGTCCAGAAGTTAAGTGATTTACCCAAGGTTACACCAAGCATCAGATGTAGACTTTGAAAGTAGATTTTGAAGTGAGGGTCTCAGATTCCAGAAGTAGTGCTCTGTCCGTGGTGCTACACTGTTGACCTTGGGCAACTTTCTAAAGCTACAAACTACAGGCCAGCTATTGGCCAGTACTGACAGAGGGATCATGCACAATGGGAGTTCCACAAATCAAGGAAGTCTGGATCCTCCTCCCTTCCCCCAACTCAAAGCATTTGGAGAAGCGGTCTTACACAGCACACACGCCCTCCCCAGCTCTCTACATGCCTTTGCACCATTATTTACCTTGGCTCTCATGTGAATGAAGCCAGTGGCTGGGTGAGGGCCAATGCTACTGCCTTGGGTGCCTGCCCCATTGCTTACCTTTATTCTACCTTTGGCAAGTCATGTAACTTTCCCAGGCCTCAGTTTCCTCATCTGTAAATGAGGGGGTGTTGTGCTAGATGACTTCTAAATGTATCTTCTAGTTCTGATTTGATCACATTGCCATCTGTCTTTTCTACCTCTCTCCCCTCCTGAGTGTCTGGTGGGTTTAAGACTTGGGGAGAGGGCTAGAACTGAAATCCTAGCTATGTAGGCCTCAGTTTCCTCATTTGTTAGATGGGGGGGTCAGATAAGATGACCTCCAAGGTCTTTTCCAGACCTATGAGATTCTCCTATATTCAGTCTGCTTACATTGAGGTGCACCTGCTTGATGTAATCTAGGACAATCACCCCAAGGCATGCTAGAGTATCCAGGGGTTTAGTCTATAGGTTGTTACTCCTTCTTGGGGGAAGGGTGTAGTGGATAGTGATGAACTTAGAGTTTGGAAGATCAGTTTCAAATCCCATCACAGACACTTACTAGCTGTGTGACCCTGAGCAAGTCACTTCATACCTCCGTGACTCAATTTCCTCATTTGTAAAATGGAAGGGTTGAACCATAGTCTCTTCCGGTTTTAAATGTATGTTCTTACAGTGCTAAGGTTCCAGAAATCTGGATTCTAGTTCTGGCTGTGTTTCGTCTGAGCTCCATTCTCTCATATGTAAAATGAGGATGGAGTGGAGTGGATTGGACTAGATTATTTGCTGTCTAACTGTCTCTTCTTTATTCTAAAATTCTCTGACTTCTCCCATTCTCTCCACCCATAATCAAGCCTCAACCTTTCTCACTTCATCCCCAAGTATAGCCTACATCTCCCTTAGGAGAAACCAGTCCCTGGGTTGAATGGGTAAATTTGGAAGGATAATGGGGATCCTCAAAGAAAGCTCCAATGGAGTGGTCTTAGACATAACTCTATTTTACATTTGAGGAAACTAAGGCTCCATTATGGTGGCTGATATCCCTTCTTCCCCTGCCCCTCTGAGCTTCTCAGAGGGAGCTTCCAGCCATCTCTGCTCCCTCTGCTCTGAAATGAAGACACTGATTCATAGAATCACAGATCTAGAACTGGAAAGGACCTTAGAGCTCAATGAGTCCAGTTCTTCCATTTTACAGACAAGGAAACAGGGAGGTTAAATGACTTGCCCGAGGTCACACAGCTAGTAAGTTTCTGAGATGAGATTTGAAACCAGGTCTTTCGGACTACAAGTCCAGTACCTGATCGTTGGATCCTAAGGTTCTAGATTGAGAGCTAGAAGGCACTTTCAGAATGGCTGCTTTGAAATCTTGTCCTGTTCGCTGGGGCTCAGCTGCCCTCACCTTCTCCCCCTACCCCCCAAGCTAGATGCCTCACAGGCCTTTCTTCTTCTGTCTTATGCCAGCAGGAAGCGACTACTCTGGAAATGCCTACGGCCATTCCCCCTACTCTTCCTACAGCGAGGCCTGGCGCTTCCCCAACTCCAGCCTGCTGAGTAAGTGTCCTCTGGGGCCGGCCAACCCTTCTAGGGCAGGGAGGGTAGTTAGAGGCGTTGGGATGGTGAGCAGAGAGGGAAGAGTTAGAGAAGGGGGCAGGCTGTCTGCCACTGGGCTTTCCGTTCAGTTGGCGTGAGCTATGGTCATGGCACCCAATGGGATGAAGAGAAGGAAACAGAGTCCCTCCCCTGAAAAAAAACATCTATCAATCAACCAATAAGCTTTTAATACTCAACTACCATGTGCTGGGCACTGAGAGAGGTGCTACAGATGCAGAGAAAATGATGACCCAGACCTTGGTTTCAGCCCTCCATCAAAGCAGACAAAAAGTCTACAAATAAGCATACATCTATCTCTATATACATGCATACACACATGTACATACACATATATGTGTATATGCATATATTTATATTTTATATGTACTTTATATAAGTTTATAAAGTATATATACTATAGATATAGGCTATATAAAGTATCCATACTTTACATAAGTTTATATATATATATTTTATATTTGCATGTGTGCAATACATATATGTGTATGTCCATATATACATGTACATATACTTACAGCCAGCCTAATTTAATAATAATAATAATTATCACCAACATATGCCAAGTACTGTGTTAAACGCTTCACAATTATGGTCTCATTTGATCCTTACAATAACCCTGGGAATTAGGTGCTATTATTACCTCCATTTTACAGATGAGGAAACTGAGGCAAACAGAGATTAAGTGACTTGCCCAAGATCACACAGTTAGGAAGTGTCTGAGACTGGATTTGAACTCAGTTCTTTCTGACTATAGGCCCAGTTCAGTATCTACTGTGCCACCTAGTGGATAGAGAACTGGATTTGAGGCCAGAAAGGCTTGGATTCAAGTCCTTCCTGACACTTACTGGCTGTGTGGCCCTGGGCCAGTCAAGTCCTAGGCAATTCTTTAAGACTCTAAGTTGAAGAGAAGGTGGAGACCTGCATAGAAAGAGTGTCCTCATCTGGGAGTTCCCTACACCAGGGAAGCCACATATCTAGCCTCTATTCCTGTCCTTAGTATGCACAAAATAACCATGAGAATAAAAGTATAAATCTATTAAAGGGGGGAGCACCCATGCCCGAATAATTCCAAGGCAATATATGTCAAGTCCTTCATGGATTCCAGCCTTACTATCCTCCTGTCCTAGCCCTTGGCCCTGGGATTCACTGGGAATCAGGAGGAGCTGGTTCTGTGGCAGCAGAACCTAGGAGTGAAGGCATTAGTAGTGCTGTATGAGGGAGGGCTTTGCTGTTACACTGTCCCTGGGGTCCAGACTTTGGGGTGGTGTGATAGGTGAAGAAATCTCATCTTGAAGCCCTTCCATCAATGGCTTACTAATGGAGATCATCCTTTATCAGAACCCCCCCCCCCCAAGGCTCTGGTAGATTAGACATCTCAGGCAGAAGAGTAGTCTCTGGCTAAGTCTGTCCCCTCTGTCTCTTTCCACCCCTTCCCACCATTCCCCACCTATTACTAGGCTTGTGGGAGCTGTAGAAAGTACTGAGATTGAGAAAATCTTAGATCAGTCGCCACCATCCTTCCTGTTTTTAACCTTCAGTTTAAAGATTTAGGGACAAATGGTTGATTAGCTAGTCAAGAAATAGGGGTGGGCGTATCGAGAGAAGCTGAAATGGGGAAAATAACATGGTGAGAAGAACACTGGACTTGGGAGTCAGAAGGCTTGGGTTTAAGTCCCAACTCTATCAACTTTTCCGGACCTCAGTTTCCTCATCTGCAAAATGATGGGGTTGTATCTAATGATCTCTTCCAGCTCTGTGCCATCTTGACTCTATGGCTCATAACAGGGGAACATTCCCCCTGCTATTCTCAAAGCTGTCCATGTTGGCATCCAGTAGGATCCTTGGAGAAAGACCTACAAACCCAACCCCTATTCTTGCCCTGCACCCTTCTGGCTAGTTAGGGCCTGGTCCTCAAGGCCCTGGATGACCACTGCCCAAGCAGTGCCATCCAGATGTGTTTTCATCATTACTCTATTAGTTCTTCTGAATTCCAGATGTGGTCTTTCCCTAAAGCAAGGGTATAGAAAGTCAAAAGTTATCTCAAAAAAACAAAACCCAAAGAAAAAAAAAGAGAAATATTCCTACCCTTGCCAGAAAGTCAGTGGTGAGGCCTGGGAAGAAGAGGAAATAAGAGGAGAAAGGAGTTAATCTTTGATGATCAGATAGGAGGGGGGTAAATGTTTAACTTCAGCTGTCTTAAAGGTCAGCAGATGCAGGGAAGGCTCTGGTACACTTCTCCGTTCTGACCAGCAATGTTGTTATTTCTTTTAACTTGTCCAGGCTCCCCATATTATTACAGTTCCACCTCAAGGGCGAATGCACCTCCCACCACCGCTTCGGCCTTTGACCACCTGTAGTTACCACCGGGACAGCGGGAGTAACCATACGGCCGGCCGGCAGGAGGATTCGGGCTGGGACAGGCCCCGGGAAGTCACACAAAGGAATCTTTATTTATTACATGAAAAATAACCACAAGTCCAGCTTTGCAACTCCCCGTGTGGTTAATTTAATGAAACGTGAAAGACACAATGACCTTGAGGAAGGCCAAGCTGTCCCCCAAGACTCCTTAATAAGAGACAGGAGTCCTGGAGAAAGGAAATCATCCCATTTTTTTAAGAGACAGATTTGGAGAAAAAGAAACTATGGACTGTGGCTCTCTCCCCATTAAAGGAGAGATGATGGGAAGGGAAAGGCAAAAGGCTGTGGAAAGACGGATCCTTGGCAGGAGTGGGGTGGAAGGGAACTTAGTTTCAGTGGGGTATAGATTTGGCTTCCCCTTGGCTTTGTATGCAATGTGATGCTAACTTGGGATACTGGGGCACTCATGCAGACACACCCAGCCTGCCCTGGCCTCCTTCCCCTGATGCGGATCCTCCTCCCAGTGACTTCCCATCTCTCTCTCCCAACCCGTCTTCCCCAGAACGGGGGCAGGGAGGAGAGATGTACTACTCTTCTCCTCTAGTCATCTTCTTGGGCTCCCCTTATACCCTGTTTCATAGGCATGGACTGAGGGACACTCTTATCGGACCCTCGGGCTCTTCACCGATCTTCATTCCTTCTGCTGAAGCGAAAGTTCTTTGAAAAGCATAAAGTGCCCTATGAGGTATTCTCATAGATCCCTCCCCCTGACAGATGCAACCAGCTGGGTCTGACACAGGCCTGATACAGGCTGAGAAAGGAACAGACCAGAAGCTCTTCCAGAAGTCCCCTAGGCACCCTGGGGATGACGGGAGAAGCAGATTCTCCTCTGGTCAAACATGCACTGTGTAGGGGAAGACAGAAATCCTTTGGGATCCATTTCCCTAGACTGATACATCATCCCTGGGTCATGTACTCCTTCCTAATCCCAAACATGCCATGTGGGAGACATCCCTCTGAGGTCCTGCCAACTTGGGGAGGACCAGCATCCTCCCTTGGGGAGGAGACACCCTCCTAATCCTGGGGTGGGCAGGGGGTGTGGAGCCTCCTATCCCATTGGGCCTGTCTGTAAATACTGTAAATGAAGCTCAGCCTGAATTCGATCCCTCTTTCCATCCCTAGACCTTTACCTCTTTATGAATTATCTCCCTGTGGCAGCAGGACTTCCCTCCTTTATGCTTCTCTAAAAATACACACAGACACACACACACACACACACACACACCCCACTCAAAACCCCTGCCACCACCCACATCAGTCAATAAAACCTTCTTTGTTTCAGACTTCTGTATTGGCTGGGGAAGGTGTTGGGCCAGCCTTCTAAGAAGGCTCCTGAGGGAATCTTCTCATATTTTCCTTGGGGAGATGGGGAGAATGTGGGAGACAAACAGCCAATTGAGGGGGGTGGGGAAGAAACAGTGAGTAACTATAAAATGCAAAGGGGGGGAACCCTGTGACTCCCAGAAAAGACTGGGTGCTTATGGGGTCCTTCCATAGCACTCTGCATAAGAAGACTACCATCAAAGGTCCTAAGAGGGTTGTCGGTGGCAGAAAAGTCTGGAAGGCAGTGCCATGCCGTGTAAAGAATTCTGGGTCAGGAGTCAGAGAGAGATGCATTTGAAACCTGGCTCAGGCACTTACCCTGAGGAATTCTGGGCAAGTCAGAGGAACTTTTCTTAGCTCCCAAAGCTGGCAATGGGAGGGGGGCACATGGAGTAAAAAGGCAAAAGAGAAGAACTGGTCTGGTGATTTCACATGACTTTCTTTGCCCCCACCAAGCTTCGGCTACAGTAAAGGAGCAGAGATTTCCAGCCATGCCTCTGAGGTTACGCCTGGGGAGGGGAAGGCAGTCATTCTTGGCAGCAGTGAGATGGTTAGTGGGGTCATGAAGGAGAGGCATGGGGATATGGAATCTGCCCAGATGTCTCAACCTGAAGAATCAGAACTACACTCACTAGGCTTCACTGTTAGGAAGTGTGCCAGAAGGTTAGAGGCAGGAGATGGAGCCACCCACTAAAGATCAGTTCTAAAGGAAATGGCCAGCAGGCTCCCTGAAGGCAGAGATGCTATTTCACCAGATCCCAAGTGGGCTCTCTCCCAATGCTGAGGACGTGGTCTGTGGTGTCCCGGTCTCCTTTGGGGGTTGGGGTGAGGGTGGAGAGCAGTATACACACACACACACACACACACACACACACACACACACACACACACACACACATACAATGGCACCTGCCAAGGAGAGATTTACCTTTCAGGGAAAAGACTGTACCCTACCTCTGGGCTAACCACTAGGACACTGGGGTCCCATTATGCCTTAGATTTGCCTGATGATTTTGAATCTGTCTGTCCCCCTTCTGGCCTCTAGCCTTCTCCCAATGGACTGTGAAGAATCCCTCTGCCTTTACAGAAGTTCGGTGATAATTGCCACCCAAAGGGTGCTTTGGAATCCTTGGCCAGTAACCAGAGAGCTTCCTGCTCCAGTGGGCCAGAACCCTTCCTCAGGAGCATTTTATGCCTGTAACCTGGAGCATGAGAGCCAGAGTGGACTGACATCAGCAATCTGAATTTTGCTTTTGCCACAGTTATGGTGAGGAATGGTGGTGGTGGCGGCGGTGAGGAGTTCAGGATGCCCTACAACAACTTTCTTTGAAGTTGACTATGAAATAGAGGAATCATTAGGCTCCCCCCTCATGTATCTATAGCCCTCAAAGCTCAGAGTGAAAAGTCCTGAAATTGCTTCCCCCAGTTTGCTCTTAAAAGTGAGTGGAGAGGTAACATAGTTGAGTGTGTGAAAGGCTGTACGTCTTGCACTTGTGGGTGGGTAGGATGAGGGGAGGGGGGCTTCAAGGTAGTAAGAGATGAGGGATGGCACATGGGAAAGAGGCCAGGAGCTGAGGAGATCTGGGAAGCATGTTCATGGGAAGGAGGGATGGAGGAAGGGGTGAATAGGAAGGAAGGTGATCTTGGGAAAGAAGGCATGAGAGGAGCAAATGAGTGGGAGAAGGAGGAGGGATGGGGAGAAGTGTGCTTGGGAAGAAGGCGTGGGAGGGGAGGCGAGTGTGAGAAAGAGGAGGGATGGGGGAGGCATGCATGGGAAGGAAGAGAGATGGGGTGAGGTGGCATGGGAAGAGGTGTGGGAGGGGGAGAAGACCATGAGAAGGGAACAGAGGGGGGTATGGGAAGGGAGCATGAGAGGGAGAATGTGTGGGTGGACTACATGCTTAGAAACCCTCAAGTTTGCAGGGGAGGGAGTGGTAGGAGGGACCTGTATCAGAACCTATATCAGAACTTGGAATTTTTTCACCTGGAGCAAAAACTGTTGAGCCGGCAGCAGCACAAGGGACAGTCTGTTGTAGGATCTGAGCTTTGGAGCTGGAAGAGATCTCAGAGGTCATATAGTCCAATTCCCTCATTTTACAGATGAGCAAACTGAAGCTGAGGGAAGGTGTGACTCATCCATGTCACCCAGATAGGAGCAGAGCTGGGATCTGAACTCAGGTCCCCTGACCGCCAATTTTGCCTCCTTCCCATTGTACAATAATGTAATCTTGATGGGATCGAGGCAGCCCCAGCTCTTGCCCTTTTTGGAGTTGGGAGGGAAAGCTGGTAGCTGCCATGGGACCATGGTTGTCATGGCTTGGGGCCATTGCACTGGGAAGTAAGGTCAAAACACAAGATGCAGAGAAGAATCACGCTCTCACAGGAATGAAGTGGACACCTCCCCATCGGATGACAGTGCCCTGCTTGCTCCATACTAGTTACACTTCTGTGATACGCAGTTTCCCAGAAGCCTGCACATGCTATGATCCCAGGACAGGCATTACCTCGGATTTAGAGTCATGAAAGCCTTGATACTGAAAGCAGATCTCTGTAGGCGCCCCTCCCCATTCTTTAGAAGTCCTGCCTAGCCCCAGCCCCCCTCTTTCCACATTAGCCTGCCCATTCTGAGCTCCCTTCTCACCCCAAGGCAATTGGCCAGGGAAGGGGCTGGAGGGAGATGGCCCTTCCATGTCTACTTAAGAGCAAATCTGACTAATTGGCTGCCTCTGGAGATGGTGGCTCCCCCTAATTGAAAATCATCATGCAATGGTCCATTGTGTAGTGGAGGGGACCCTCACTCAAGCTTGAGTTGAGTTAGACATCCTCTGAGGTGCCTTCTCACTCTGAGAGTCTCTGTGTCTATGTGAAGGAGGAGCTTGAAGGAAGGCTAAGTTAACCAGGGTAAAGGGATTATTGGGGACAACAATTGTGAAATGTATTAGAGACAGACAGATAGACTGAGATGGAGACAGAGATGGAGAGACAGACAGAGACAGAGACAGAAGGAAAGACAGAGAGGTAGAAGGAGGCAAAAAGAGAGAGGGACACAGAGATAGACAGAGATAGAAAGAAACAGAGGGAGAGGGAGAGACACAGAGAGAAAGACAGAGAAAGAGGGAAGGAAGAAAAGAGAAGAGAAGAGAAGAGAAGAGAAGAGAAGAGAAGAGAAGAGAAGAGAAGAGAAGAGAAGAGAAGAGAAGAGAAGAGAAGAGAAGAGAAGAGAAGAGAAGAGAAGAGAAGAGAAGAGAAGAGAAGAGACAGGAGAGGTGAGGAGAGGAGAGGAGAGGAGAGGAGAGGAGAGGAGAGGAGAGGAGAGGAGAGGAGAGGAGAGGAGAGGAGAGGAGAGGAGAGGAGAGGAAAGAAGAGCAGGGAAATCTACTTTAGAATCCCTCCTAGGGGCTATTGCCCCTTGCTGCTGGCTGTCTCCTTGGGGAATGTGAAATGGTCCTCATTTTCTGAGGCCACCTTCCTTATTAAATTCTGGGTGCCTTCTTTCTAGGAGGGAGAGGAATCCTCCACCATAGTTTTGAACCTGGACCTCACTGGAGCTCAGCTGCCAGTAACCTTTGTCCTTGTCTCCCTCCCTCCACACCAGGTATCCTCTCCACTCTGTCTGGTGACCCTCTCCCTGTGGGCTAGTCACCGAAAAGTTCTCATGGGAGACCTGGCTAGGCCCCCAGTTATATACAAGCTCTTGAATTCCATCCCCAATCCTTCAGCATTCTCCTTTTCCTCCTGCCCATACATTGCTTCCTTCTCCCCCAAGCACAAATACAAATTCTCTGAGACAGGTCAGGGCTGCCTCTTGCTTTCTGGGGTTTGGGGGGAAACTCCTTTTGGTCCTCATCTTTCCCTGCTCTGCATTGCATGCCCATCCCCTGCTATCTGGAGCAGTTAAGATAGAATGGAAGCATTTGGAATCTGCCAGGAATCCACTGACTTTGAAGTCAGGACCTGGATTCAGATCCTGCCTTGGACACTTATTAGATTGTGACCTTGGGAAAGTTATTTTGCCTCCATGACCTCAGTTTCCTTACTGTAAAATGAGGAAGTTGAGCTAGATGGTCCCTCCTAGTTCTAGGTCTGTACTCCTCACTCCCTTGACCACCATGGAACTCAGCTGCCTGATCTGTAAAATGAAGGGGTTGGACTCACGGCTTCTGAGGCCCTTTCCTTCTCTTGATCTATGATGCTAAATCTCTTAATCTCTTTGAGTTTCAGTTTCCTCATGTATCCAGTGGAGGCCAGGGCCTCTGAGGCCCCTTCTGACCCTGGAGCTATGATCTTAATGACTCCCTGCCCACCAACAGCTCCAGTCTTCACTCCTGGATTCCCATCAGTCCCACCTACCTTTCCTTCCTCAATTACCCCGATAAGTGATGATGAATACCAATGCAACCTTAGGAGAATTTCAAAGCACCATTTGGGCAGTTGGGGGGGGTGTTAAAATCCCTGGACAACCACAGCTGGCCAGGACACTCAACAGTCCTCATTCTGGTGATATTGGGTCCTGGTTCTCATGAACCAGGCTGGCTTTGCCTCAGTTTTCTCATCTGTGAAAATTCGAGGGTTGGGCTAGAGGCCTCTAAAGTCCCTTACAGTCTTAAATCTAGCAGCCCATGCGCCTGTGACTTAGAGCA